TAACAGCAGCTAATGCAGTGACACAACACAAGAGAGATTGATTTTACAGTGCTATAATGACAACACATGCATATACACACACAAAAACAGCTGAAGAGCTCTAGTGCTCTCTATCCAGAGTGCATGCTTCTCTATGCATATTCATGTGCACACATGAAGGACACTTTACACTGCACTACAGCCTTTCACGCTGGTGTATTCTCTCTCTGTGTGTGTGTCATTAAGTGTGAGAGAGGTTGCTTTAAAAGTACCATGCATTCTCTTTGTTACCATGCCAACATCAATACCAGCACCCCATACTTCATAAACCCTCTTAAGTACTTTTGTCTATTTATTCATAGTTATTCTCCAAGTCCTTTTCTCTGAGTTATTGTTTCCTCTTCTCAATTCAAAGAAAGGGCTGGGTGTTTACATACACCCAGATTTCACAATTTCCCACTTATTTATTTAAGAGAATTAAGAGAATTGTATGCTGGCCTCCCTTCCTACCTTGACAGTTTTGTCCAAAAAGGTTGTATCCTATCCTGTCCTATCCTAATCTTTCCTTTCCTTTCCTTTCCTCGCCAAACATGTGTGTCCAACCTTCATGTCTATCAACTCTGTCTTTCTCTCTCTATTCCTGAGTTTGTCCCAGCAGCATTATATACACTGAACAAGTTCATTAGCAGTTAGCTTGTGCATGTGCACAGGAACAGCAGGTTCTGATGAAGGAGGACAGATCATGAAGAAGAGAAAGGTGCTCACTGAGCACGTGACATTGTGCTAAACTCTGCACTGTGATACCCATCCAGTTATTTCACTAACCCTGCTGAAAAATAGCTTGAGCCTAAATAAATTCAGTGGCAGTGTATGCTGGTGTGGGGCTGGTCCAGATGGTGTGCCAGCAGAGACATGCTGTTTACCGGCAGATTCTAGCTTGTGAAACTGGTTAACTTATTAGTTAATTTAGGCATAGAGAATTTTATTTGTTAAAATGTTATAAATAGAGATGTCCCAATCAAGTTCCAAGTCATTGAATATTGAGTATCTGCCGATACTAAGCCCTGAGCCAATACTTTATAGTACATCCTAGTTATTAAATTCAGTCCAATGTATATAGGGCCATGCAGAGAGATTCTCAGGGGCAGGGGCTCAAATGTAAAAAATGGAGCATAGCACAATAGGATACTACAGTAATTATATTTATGGGCACAATGTGTCTCAATCTGAAGGAAGATGCAACCCATAGCAATGTGTTAAGCAACACCATCTCATATAGTCTGAGAGCAGATGAAAGTAAATGGTAAATAAAAGACTTTCGAGTGATTTGTTACAAAGTGCGCATTAAATACGCTAAAGATGGAAGATTGAACACATGAGACGTTCTGGAACAGATATCATTGGTTCTCGTGCGTCACGTCTTTTCCTTTTAATGTTGGTTGGCAAATCTACTTGAAGGCCTACTGCACGACCCCTGCGTGATAGTTGACACAAAATAAGTGATCAGGCTCAGGATAGCTGATACCGATCAGTTAAAAAAATGCTTAATCTATACCCCGATACCAATTCATGAGGCTTGGGACCTTAAGACAGATACCTTTGTAATACACTGATAATCACCAAAAGCAGTTGGTGCTGAGAAAGTCACATGATGAACCAAAGCCCATCACAAGCAGCTTTTAAATATTAACCTACGAGGAGTTCATTTGCAAAAACCGATAAACACCACTTAAAAAAAAAAAAGATTGGCGTGCATTATTCTCCACATATAGCGCGATCTGAACCCTAAACACGTTTTGTCAAAAAAGCCGGTTTTGTCCACTTTCAAGGCATCGCGAGTTCACGTTTTATTGCAGAAGCCGACAAGCGCCATTGTTGTTTTTGAACGGAAGGCGAAAAGTCCATTTTAGCGAATCAGCGCGCTTGTATTCAGGTCAGGTGACAAGGCTACTTTCACTTTGAAAAGACGTGCTAGCTGAGAGGAGTTTCTTCAAAGCTGACTAAAAGTGATCGAGGATGGATAATTTTGGTGAAACTTGATGAACCTGTGATATTTTCTTCAGGGCGAAAAAGGAAAATAAAAGCTGAAACGTTTTCATGGAACCTTGCAAAATCAGCGCGTTACAATGGTGAGGGAAAAGCTCCTTGAACACTTTGAATAGGAACGTGACGTAATTTTGGTCTAGAATCGAAGTACTACATGTCTGCCATCTAGTGGTAGGGAATACAAATTAGATATTACACCATATTAGGAACTACAGTCTATTTTATTAAGTATGACGTCTTGTCGCAATTTTGCGACTTTGGCGCTTAGAGGGTTAATATGTAAAAAAAAACATACTTTTAATGAACTTTAATTTGTAAATTTCCTGTATTTGTTTAAGTTATTACTTAATCAAAACAACCCAACTGCAGTTTGATTGATATTACTTGGAATACGCAATAAAATAAACGTGATTTCTGAAAAAAATTAAAATGGAGTTATCGGTTTTTGCAAATGAACTCTTCATATATAGAAGGTGCACAGTGTCATTCACAGAAACACTAAACACCATCATGGTAACACACATGAAATTTAACAACATTAGATGTAACATACAACCCTAATGTACACAACTGATAAGAAAAAACTAAGAACAAACATAATATTGTTATTTCAACAAAAAATACATCAAATTTGAAATGTAACACAGGGAATTCTGGGAATGTCAGTTTACGGTTATTCACTGTAAATTCTACATTATTTTTCCACTTTCAAAAATGGTATACTACCGTAAAATTACATGTAATGTCCAATACAGTTTTTCACCGTATATAGTAGGGGAACTTACCGTTAACCATTTCACAGGTTTTTACAGTAGCATTTTTATAGTCTTTTACCATTACATTCACAGTAATTTTTTGCAGTGTGGGTCCAGATTTGACTACATTGTCAGGACTGAATGCCCCCAGAAGGATAGTAAAACCTAAAAACACCTGCACTGTGTGAACCAGCCAACTGTCCCAATGAGGAAAACAGCTTAATAAATATAGTAAATGTCTTTATGGCATTTTAAAAATGCAAAGTCCCCACCATGACAGATAAACAAACCTGCCGGTAATACATAAAATGCAAGATGTAGACTGACAGATATAAGTATCATATTATACAGAATATCGAGCGTATTCCAGTGCTTAAGGATCAGAGTTTATATTCTGCCGATTCACTGCGCTGAGACAGTGAATTCAGAAACAGAAGAACAGGAAATGAGGAGAATTATGAGACTGACCTCTTCAAAAAGACTCATACAGAATGGCAGACACAGACGGAAAGATACTACAGGCAGACAAATTGGAAGGGTGGATGGAAAGATGATGGACGACTGAATAAATAGAAAAATGGACATTAAGGCATGGTTAGATGGATAATCAGATGCCTAGAAGGATCGATGCTGGGAGTCTGAGTGTGCAGTGCTCAAAGGGTCACTGCCGGGTCAGATAAATAAGACTCTACTGAAATATGAATTCATCCTGTGGAGTCAAAAAATCTGGGTTCTGATTTACTTAAAAAATAACAAGCAAACATTTCATTATTCTTTTATTGTTAAGTTATACTAAATTATATCATATTATATATCTAGACCAACACACTTTTCTCTGCCGTTCCACCAGTTTTTCTCCCCCTCTCTCTCTCTCTCTCTCTCTCTCTCTCGTTGTCGGCA